TACATTAATTTGTCGCATTGTCTCTCCTGTTACAGAAATAATTAACCAGCATCATACAATTTCCGAATTGGTTATGATATTAGTAAAACTACCATACTCATTCGTAAGTTTACTTGATTTCGGTATGTGATGAATAAACACAGTAAGATAAACGAGGAGTGGAGAAAACTATGTGCGCTCGAGTAAGGCGGATGAAACTCATTTAAGTCTACATGTGATGGTTATGTGCATAGAACATAATTTAAAAACGTTTTACAAGTTACGTTGAAGCGAGAAATGAGATAACACTGCAAAGCCGACAGGTAATTATGACCAATGCTGATGAATAAATAAACATAGGATACACAGAACAGATCAAATGTCTTGCTATACAGATATATTTCAACACCTAGTAACATTTTGGTTCTCAAGTTTTCCATACATGTACACATGAATCACAAACAATCAGACAACGAAATTTCAAAAACATAAACAAACAAGTTGGTGTTACAGAAAGAAATAACAAGAAATCGAGATAAGATAACAGCATTACACTAGACTGGTCCCATTGAACAGGGTAGCCATATTGCTTCAGCTGATGGGAAAGCGATCCGAGTTCAATATTATGGAATATATTAGGCAAGAAATAAATTCAAACATAAAAACCACTAATGTTCTATTGATTTGACGGTGATGAACTATCAGTTTACAGTCTACTGAGAAGAACAGGTTGGTAGTATGTGTTCTATGTTCAATCGACATTGTTAAAACCATTATCTACAATATACCAAGCAAACTATATGCAGACTTTCTCGTCAATATACCGAAACACAATATAATAGTTACAAATCGAGACGAAAACGAGTGAATTATGCAAAATAAACTGCATTAGTCTGAGGTTGAGGTGATGTTGGATTGTAAAGATTTTTCAATTTTTCGACTTTACATTTAGGACTGATCTCATTTGTTCATGAGTGCACATTGAGGAGGAGTCGTTTACTAAGATGGAATAGCTGTCCAATGCTTCTCTGGTTTCTATCAGTTGCCTAACTAAAATCAGTCCATGACTTAGACTATGCAAACTACTAATTATTATTCATATAATACTCTATAGGAATGTTTAGAATGTGATCTATTCAGTAACACTTCCATTTGTGCTTCATTTTTTAACATGAATTAATGTGCCATGTACATTTATTTAACTGTGAATTACTTCTTTATTCATTGATTTTATTCTATTGTAGACTGACTCAATTTATTCTTAAAAGAGAAACTTACTTTAATAGACAGTATTTTCAAATGTAGATCATAACATGGAATTTGACGAGAGTTGCTTGAATCAATTGTGCATGTGTGTGTCTAAAATATAAATATTTTAGTAAATTTATTTGTTTATCATACACTGACTAAAGGTGAATTGTTGCGTTAGATGTATTTCGTAGGCATTACTTTATATGCTTCACGATTATACATACTATCAAGCTCAGAGAACACAGCCCCAACAAAATGTGTTTGTACTCAGTTTAAAACATGAAATTTTAAAAAATCGAATCGTCTAATTATTTGCAGCTTACATCACGAATTAGTTGCAAACAGGCTGCTGCTACACTGGCTATCTTCAACTCCATTTGTTGCTACGTATTGAATAGAAGAACTACGTCATTTGCGAAGTCCGAATCATCTAGTTACATCCACGCTATATAGTGTATTCCGTATTTCCCCTCGGAAATCGAGGTCTTCATAACCTAATCAACCACCAGAAGAAAGAGAAAGGGGAAAATCAAGTAGTCTCGTCTGACTCGAGTCCTCACTTGTAATGAATGTCAGCTGTCCTCCATGCACGAATTTGCAGTGTACTCCGTCGTATGAATTCAGGATGATGTTGATGATCCACTCGGGTAAACAATAGTGTCAAAAAATGCTTGCTCATGATCAAGGAGGTTGGTGTACAGTGACGAATTCTATCCGTGATTGTTCAACAGTGATAAGTAAAGTCGAGATTCGGTCTGTACAAAACTAATCCATACAGAATCCAAGTTAAGCATCTACTAAAACTTCCATCCGCTTCAAAATCGTTGAAAACTTTTCCTGGTGCTGATAGATTGATACCTCTAAAGTTCGCACACTAGTTAATATTTACTTTCTTTGATTAGATGATGCTGTGATCTAAAATGCCATGCAAACGTAAAGGCGAGGATTGACAAAGCAAGGACAGTATTCCTACAGTTAAAAAAGATACCGAATTTCTGTTGAACTCATACTATCAGCAACAGCCTACTGTGAGAAAACAAACCAGCTTCGAACTGACGACGGAATTAGGAAAAGACGTTGGAAGTGGTGGGTGGGGCATATATTACGCAAATCATCAAACTGCATCACGAAGCAAGCACTAAGTTGGAATCTTCAAGGAAAACGGAGAAGAGAAAAACCAAAGAACATACAGAGTAGATTATTCGAAGGAGACATGAAAAGAAAAAACGGCACTTGGAAACAACTCAAAAGGATTGCCCAGGACAGTGTTGGATGGAGAATACTGATGGGAGGTCTATGCCTCTCAATGAGGGATAACACGCGTATCATTTATTTTCATTTAAACAAACACAAGTAAAAGGAAGCATTAAATATATATTTATCCGCCACACCTCACAATTCGATTTGTGTGAAGGCTGGAATACTGCTCAGGAGACAAAACCGAAGTAGGTCTTTTTCTGGGAGGACCACTAATCAAGCTTTTCACTTAAAGATCTAATCAACAAGTTGGTGGAGAAACGTTAGATGCAGTCTCATGGTAGCCGTTGACCAACAATACGTTCATGCACAATCCATTCCCTCAAGATCCTGAGGCTCATGTAAACCATTGGTTTGAAATCAGGGTTTCCCAACTCCCCTACCTAGACCCTCCATATACACCAACTCGGTTAGAGCACAGCACATTCACTTCTCGTCCTCTCAATTTCGTTAAGCAACAACCCTGCCACGGGAAGGCAGTGAGTAGGACTTCCCTAGCAGTGAATGTATACGCGTGGCCATGTGAGTGCGTTTCGAGGAGATAGGACTTTTCCCACCTTCGACCGTATCAGATCATTCTGGGGCGTATGTAAGTACTCTAAAATGACATTGTATTGAATTATGCATTTCACCTACATTTCCGGAATTACATATGTATGTGACAAGTGTCCGAAGAAAATAATTCATAAGTATTTCGTTTTGTGTATTGTACATCCAGTTTGTATCAACCTGATCACGTCTGTAGATTGGTGTATAATCTAATTATTTTCAGAATATATACTATATTGTTATTTAGATTCGACTAAAAAGTCTACAGTAAATCATATTATTTATTGAATTTTTAGTCAGTAATATGGGCATCGAAACTATAAAAAAACTATGGACAACGGTAACTACCTAACTATACACTGTATATTAATAATGACAATGAAAAGTATTTTATAAACACCTGTAATTCTGAACAATACTGTGTTCATAAGACTAAGCAATAACATACAAGACAATCCCTTTATTTAAACAATTGAAAATGAACGTGAGATTCATATATATATATATATATATATATATATCGTCTGAAGAGAACAGGGTTAAATAAAAATTTTAAATACATTAAAAATCGTACATTTTGTTTCTTTTTAAATGTTTTAATTAAGGCGTTACGAAACTCCATTATGCACACTAAAGTCTTATAATCATAAGATGGAAATTGTGAGTTAACAAGCATCCGTGCCAAATTTGTATTTGGAAAATGTAGAAGCTTATTAAACAGAACCATGTTTTGCGAAATGGACGATTCACGAAAGATCGGATCTTATTGCAAAATTTCATAGGCCTCGATAATTATTTACAATAAATTGATTGACAAAAATATGAAATATGACGGTTTATATATATATATATATATATATATATATATATATATATATATATATATATATATATATATATATATATAAAATAGGTGGGCAGACTTAATTCATTTTAAAACAATACAAACGAAGGGGATCTAAACACATATACTAGTTTTGAGCTATGGTTTAGTTGTTCTGAAAACGAAAAGGCATCAGGAAATATGTAACCGTTTGTGCATACGCATATAAAGAAATGTGTATTTTACATTATCAATCCGAAAATCGAAAGCATAATGAAATTTAGCGAGAGACAAGATAGAAAATGCTTCATAACAGAAAAGACTTCCAGAGCTCGTTGATATTTCATTGATTATTTATGAACCATACAACAAAAATTATTCATCCAGGTGAATTTAACACCCTTTTAGCGGTCCCCAGAATTGTTTGTGATACAAATAAGCAAGCGAAATAATCATGTCTCTGTAAAGAAGAATTTGCCAAGTTATAAGACATGCTTTCAAGCAAAAAAATCATAACCGTATTTATTTATATAACAATATATGTGCATTCGTACATGACTTAAAATGAACTCATTCATTCTTTTATATGCACTGCTTGCGATGTAGCTATGACAATTTTTTAAAAAATCACGAATTATAAAAAAGAACTATGGAAAGAAATAAGTTTATAGTGGTAATAATACTAAATAAAGATGTGAAGTTTACTGTATTATTAGGCGATTTGTGCCTAGGTAGCATAGTTAATTTATCAGTAAACAGATTATTACATAGATAAACGAAAAAGGTGAAAAAAGAAAGGGACAATATTTGTTCTGCACACAGACGTACGAAGAAAAGAACGATGGAAAGCCCGTGAGAAACAAAGGCATGCAGTTTACGGTAGTAATTATAACAATAACAATAATAATAAAAGGAGGAAAGAATGCGAGATGTCATCAGAGATCAGTGCGATAATAGAATTAATAAATACAAATCTCTACATATATATACATAAAAACATACTTCAACAAAATCACGCGTTTATATATATATATATATATATATATATATATATATATATATATATATATATATATATATATATATATATATATATATATATAAACTATTACCAGTGAAATTTCAGTTTAACTGTGTCGATAAAGAATAGCAAAATTTATTATGGTACCAGGAAATACATTTCAATAATGATACTAGTAATAGGAAGAGAATAATGGAAAAGCGGTTTTTTGAAAATCTCTAAAGTAACTACAGACAGGGAAGAAACAAACTGAATAACTTTTGACAGTCATTGGTTTTAAATGTACAATAATAAGCATACTGATTTATATCAACTACACAAATGTATAAAAAAACGTGTTTATTGATGAAAAATGGTAAGACGTGGTTGCTTGGTCGATGAACTGATCATAAATTGAACCAAGATGAATAATCCCCGAGAAAAACAATACATATTGATACAAGTACAATATAGTGAGTAGAAATTCACGAAATTGCTGACTGAAATATGAATGCACACTTTTCTCTCAATTTCCCACATTGAACTACCCTTATTGGTTTCAAAACTAATCAAAATGAATTATTAGCATTATTACTATTGTACGATTTTTTAACAGCAAGAGAATAGTATAGAGAATCCAGTTGTATACACGTCATATAATCAGATGGTCATCGAACAAATTTCAAGAAAATATATACGATGAACGCACAAATCAATACCATAACAGGAATGACAGCAAATAATGAGAACTGTAAAAATAAAAGAACAGAAGTAAATTAGTGATAATTTTAGTAATATTTGAAGAAAATTTTGTTATAATCGAAGCAATAAAACGCAAAACTAATTATTGATCATTTTTCCTATGATCAATTAAAAGTTTATTATCAATACTACTTATCACTAGGAAAAAATTAGAAATATCACTGAATGATTGAGAAATATCAATCAAAATCATAAACGAAATATTTTTTAACGTCAAAATAACTACGATATATACACATATATTTAGTAACAAAAAAACTACTTACGTAATGTTCATGCAATGGCACGTTGCTAGTTCTAGTAGGATATTGGTTAGTTGGACAAGGATTATCATTTAAAGAATTTACAGTGGTTATTTCGTTGGAAATAGAATTCTTGTTAGAAATCTGTGTTTTGGTATCACACAAAAGTGTGCTGGCAAGAAGCTTTTGTAAATGTTCTATTTGATTATTAGCAGTATCTAGCTAGAAGTTTTTATATGAAAAAGCGAAAAAAAAAGAAATCAAGTGTAAAATTACAATTCCCTTTTATGAATCTAAATTTACCATTTACACAAAAATTTGATGCCGTGAATAGTGAGAAGTTAGTAAGACTTTTTAAAAAAACCAATGGAAATATGTACAGTGAAATATTCAAGATACATATTAAAAAACAGATGAATCTGAAAAGTAGATTTTCTATGTAAACAGTAACCAGAATCGAGATTACTATGACAGCAAAAATGTGCATTCCAATTAAAAATATTTATTTATTTAAACATAAACATTGATACAAGAAGGCATCAAATATATATATATATATATATATATATATCCGCCACACCTCACAATTCGATTTGTGTGAAGGCTGGAATACTGCTCAGGAGACAAAACCGAAGTAGGTCTTTTTCTGGGAGGACCACTAATCAAGCTTTTCACTTAAAGATCTAATCAACAAGTTGGTGGAGAAACGTTAGATGCAGTCTCATGGTAGCCGTTGACCAACAATACGTTCATGCACAATCCATTCCCTCAAGATCCTGAGGCTCATGTAAACCATTGGTTTGGAATCAGGGTTTCCCAACTCCCCTACCTAGACCCTCCATATACACCAACTCGGTTAGAGCACAGCACATTCACTTCTCGTCCTCTCAATTTCGTTAAGCAACAACCCTGCCACGGGAAGGCAGTGAGTAGGACTTCCCTAGCAGTGACTGTATACGCGTGGCCATGTGAGTGCGTTTCGAGGAGATAGGACTTTTCCCACCCTCGGCTGCACCAAGGCATTTAAGGGATACTAAAAATAAGTGTTTAAAAAAGTACAAGTTACGATTGTTTTACTGCAAATACTAAACACAAATTTGTATATTTGGTAAAAAAAACGTGGACAGTACTCACTTGTTTCGATAAATTGTCACGTTCAAGTAACAATTCATTAGCTTCTGCTTGTGCTCTTCTTGTTTCAGATATTAGACGATGATGATCAGCACGACTTGTTGCTACATCGGTTTCAATTACAGCGATTCGACTTTTCAGTGCATCACATTCTCCTCGAACCAATAACAATAACTCTGCTTTAGCGGCATCTACAATTCAAATAAGCAAGAAAAAGTACACTTATATCATATAAACTATTAGATTAGAATGTTTTGAAATTTACCTTAAGGAGTAATCATAGGAAAAGGAATTTCGCATAGAATGGCATAATAGCAATCTCTTACAAAATACTGTGAACATATTAATAGAAACAAATTGAAAGTAAACACCGAGTTGTATATACAGTAAATAAAGGTGATTGATAAACTTGCTAAAACGTAAAGACATATTATAAAAAATGAACAACTACTTTGTATTTTACAAATATTCAACACGAATTTCCAATATTGACAATATTACATTAACAATTTAATTCTAATGACTATTGGAATAATCAATAGGACAGAAACAAACTTAAAAACTCACCTTGTTTTCTTAAATCTTCGGTCAACTGTTTATAAGTTTCAATCTCATTCACGGATTCCATTAGCTCATCTTAAAAAAAAACATAGATAGTAGGTTTAAATGGAAAATGGAATGACATTTAATTACATGAAAAATAACTATATAATTATATCTCCTTTTATCTGCACAATGACATTTTCCGAAATAAACAGTGACATACAATAAAACAGTATCGTATGAATTATTTAACATTTTCGCAACTAATTTCCAACTACTGGATATAATCAATGAAGTATTAGAGACTATAGATAAAAATAAGGCAGTAGTTCACATCGTGTGAAGTAAATAAAACTGGGAAATTATTTACACGTATATTAAGCTCTGAAATACACTGGATTAAAACTTACAGATAGATAGCCGATTATACTACAGTAGGTAAACCTAGATCAGAAGGGTTAACTTACTGAGCGGACATAATGAGGTCAAGTTTTGGGGCATCTTATTATTAAAGATCACAATAGTACTTAATGATCATAAACAATACTCACTGTGTAGTTTTGAAAGTTCTTCATCTGTATGTGAATCTTTATCCATTCTGTACGCTTGCAAGTGATTAATTTCAACTTTCTGGTTGGCTGTCCCATCCACTTCAGTAGATTGAATATGATCGGCAAGGGTTTCTGTTCCTAGACAAACATCCATTTTAGTTATATGAGTCGTCCTGAATTCGGCAGGAGGTATACATAAATCATCTAAAAAGATAGTGGTGAAGAGCAATTATAGGATGACAGTTATTAATCTGGGATTTAGCAGTAAACACTTACAACCTGTCTTACTAAGAACTTGACCCATGACCACTAGATATCAAGTGAGTCCATTACCTCAAGAATATTAAATCGGAATCCGACTGTCTATATTTCAAATTCTGGTCAATCCGTGTCATAAGCACAGAGATTATTCATAGTTATAGGCTATATCCCTCTCACTTTTGATATGGTTAAGGTCACTAGGACTCCTGGAAACTAGTCATGAAGTTAGTCACCAGTGTGTACATGGTTAGTTACTCTTTAGTGTCAATTAGTGTGGTGAATAAATAGTACACAGAATAACAATTAATTATCCATCCCACTACTATAACAAAAACTGTTTGCTGTTTTATTCAAATTTGGAAACCTTTTTGTAAAAGTATGGACCATAAGAAGAAAGAATTTAATTTCATGTATAAAATATGCACACTGGTTTGTTCAATAAAGTGATGAATCAGAATACAGTGATTTACTGACGTAAAACACATTGAAAACTTACTGTGAATATTAAAAATATCAGCATTATTATGAAGATTCGGTGGTAAACACAAAGAATTTAAATCAGCACCCACACGACGTTGAAGATTGGCAACTAAAGTAGCATACTCTGTTGCACGTTGTAAGGCAGTTTCAAAATTATTTTCTTTACAATTAGCAACATCGAGTCTTTTCAATGAAGTTTTATCAGGATCAACATTATCAAGAGACTCAAAAGAATCAATATTGTTTGTAGCTGGATCAGAATTCACCGGTAAGGAAAGAGTTGATTCATTTGACCTTTTTATCTTGGCCAAAATACTTAATTCATCTAAATGAATAAATTGTAAAGCGTTTTTTCTTAAATAAGATTATAAGAACTAAAGGATAAACTCTGAAAAATTTCCCTATCAGTACGTTTAGAAAAAAACCAAAAGGTAGCAACATAAAATGATCATATAGTGATGTGTGGGCGAGAATGATAATGATTCGTTGTTTGCTTAATCAGACTAGTAGATAGTCTGACAGGTACAAATAAGTTATATATTCTTTTACCCTGATTATTATTATTATTGTCGGGCTTTGATGTGGAAATATACTTACGTTCTAGTCAGGCTAATCACGTGTTCTTGATCTGAGTTGTGTTGAATTCTGGTAGAACAGACACTGGGAGGGTATCTAGTATAGATATTCGTTTAAGGCAAATTAGCGTCCAATTCATGTAGACGAGGAAAATCAAGCGTTATAACATATAGTGTTAAGTATTTATTTTACTGTTGAATTCATAGTTAAAAATTACTTCGATTTATAATATTTAATTATAATAGAGTTCAAGGTAATCTACATGCGACATATCTAAGAAAGTAAATCTATATAAATATATACTTCATCATTGCCGAAATAATATCTCTGTACATCTATATTGTTTGACATCGAAAGGTATCCAAATATAATCTGATTATTAAAACAAGGGCAAATGGAATTCCCCAGAATGTATAAATGTATCAAGTTATTACAGCAAGAACTTAGAAGTGGTCACAAAAGTATTTATCAAAGTATCCTTGTACTAGAAAGACAGACTCTTTCTGAATTAGCTTGATAATTTCAATACAAAAATGATCTAGACAAGGTGGATTGTCACTCTTTAATTGATCAATAACCCTGGGAGATACAAGAGGATAAAATTTTGTAAATAGTTAACTTCGTACATAAGTAGATAAATTGTTGTTTTCGCTTCTGTACACGATTTTCTACAGCTGTCTTGCGATGCATATTGTACCTAAGTTTACTTTTGTTATTAATTACAGATAACCGAAATGTGTTGATTAGTTGAAGACAGGAAATGTAGTAGACTCACCTAACTTTATGTTAATAGAAATTGAAATAGCGATGTTTTAAAACGTGATCCCGAATTTCTTAAATAGTAGACGAGTTTAGATTATCCCAACTATGTGTCAATACGAAATAAATTCCATTTATTCTATGTAATTAATACAGGGAAAAACCTATCAACTTCATCCATGATCAACTTAAAGAGTCTTATGAAGCGCTTAATCATCAACCACAAATTTGAAAATGACAATAAAGTTCAGTTTTCCGGAAATTAATGAAAAAGGGTATAATAAAGGTAAACACTACACAGTATTTATTCATACCTTGAAGCAATTTGATTAATTGATTTGATTGATTGAAAAGCCGAATACCTTCAATTATCCGAATAGATGTATGACCGTTATGAGATTCATCATTTGTGGTGACATGTTGCCCTAAAAAACAAACAGCAAAATTAAGTATCCAAACAGAAGTATATGTTATAAAAAATTAGACTTTCTGACATTTCGTGACTTAGTGTAAGCCACTTCTTCATTGGGATATCACAAATATATTATTTATTTATAAAAATCTACCCAATACTTAATTTAATCGAAATTATCAAATCGAACCTTGATATGTTGCCTAAAAAGACAGTCTTTATGTTCTTAAGAACAAAACAATTGTTCTCTTTATTTTTATTCGTAAAAGTTCAAAAATCTCGGATATTAACAAGAATAATAAATCTATTTGCATTTATATGACTAATTATCGAAAGTTATTTAATCTAAGATGGATGATATTAGTCAAAATAATCGAATTTAACCATTTGAAGAAATTACAAGATATGAGTGCCATGTTCATAGAATTCTACTCTATTATTAGTAAATTAAGTTAGAATTTGAGATTAAGACTGTATTAACAAAAGTCTATTCAGTTCTCTTATTACTCAAAATAACCCGGAAATCTGATTATTCATGAAGAACTTATTTTCGATGGTTCTGAGTTCTTCGAACTTCATATTAGTGTGCGCTACCCTAATCACGTACAAAACACGTAGAGAGACTATACGTTATCATATTTATTAAATAAATTAAAAAAGCGGTGGGAACACTGAAACACAAACAGCATAAAATATCACTAACCTTGAACACCGAAGAAATTATCAGGTTCCGATGATTTCAATAAATCGAAATTATTTTGCATACCGAATCGTTCGTTGATATTATTTAACTTATCTAAAAAATAAGATAATGTATTTACGCTACAGTAAAAGCAAACAAAGAATAAAACATCCAGAAATACATCAGTATATAAAATGCAGAACCGAAAATACTCAGAATGTATGTATGATTTCTCATGAGTAAGAATATCTCTAGTTATTATGCGATCAATAACAAACAACAATTATAAACTCAAAATGCAAATTCGGATTGCTTAACTTATTTTGAACAGATTTTTCATGACGAACCAACATTGACCGAAGAATTATTTATAAAAAAAAAACAGGAAAAGTATAAAGCTATTCCGTCCTAGTGACGGACTAACTAATAAAGAGATTGCATTGAACCAAAAGCTTCCAGGGTCGACCGATAACACACCATTCTATCACTAACTTGGAATCCAAAAAATCTATACTACATTTCATTTAATTTGTGATATTTCACAATACTTATTTAATATGCTCAGTCAACTACTGTCGGACTGTCGACAACGTTAACTTAACAAATAACGGAGCTCTACTAAAGTCACTAAATCCGACTTGACCATACTGCTAACTTCGTCGACTTCTCGAGGAATATGACTTTGATGAAGAAAAATATCTCTGAATTACGCAAAAAAATGACACAAAATAAAACGCGAATTATAGTAATATAATTCATCTCATATGGTCTAACAATGAAAACAAATATTCCGTTTCCAACTTTTCGATATTAATACTATTGCCAACAACATACAAACCTCAGTTCTCTCCATCAAAAGATAAGCAAACACTTGACTACAAGTGAAAATGGATTATTCATCAACGAAAACAAAAAACTCAGAGAAACTATTTGCTTCTAATTAATTTCCTAACAAGCTGTATCGTAAATTCGTTGAATGAAGATCTCTTTAATGACTCTTGATTTTGATATTCAATAGTATTAAGAATAAGGAATACAGACGATTTTATTCTTCGAAATTTATCAGAATTCAGATTTACAAACCCTTAAGAGCATGTACAGTTGATTTACTTAAAACTGAACTGACTTCAAACATGGTATTTTTAGGAACAAAGTAAGCTTCATTTAAAATAAAATCACATGACCATGTGTGTAAAACGCATAGTTGTTAATTGACATACTGGTTAGCTGAAAGGCAGGAGTTCATTATGTTTCCTTCCGTACGACTAAAGAGCCTAAGAAACATCTCCAGTGCTGTTAGGTTTTCACTTTCTATCCAACGTACGTCAATGAACAATAAAATTATCTTCAAATTATACATATCTCTCTTCAGTATGCCACAATACAACTGCATTCTAAGTTTAGAAGTTGGATTTCACACAAATACTAAAATAAACCATTCCCCTCTCTATAACCATAAAACTCTGAGATCGCATTGATAATTGATAGATAACAAGAAAAATTTGGAAGTGAGAATTTTATTTGGCTGCTCAATACTGTACATCATCATCAATCCCTGTTTTTTGTTAAAGGTTGTAAGCACATGCATATAGCTAATGCATGACTAATGATGATGTCACTAATTCTAATGTTGATATGTTTGAGGTTACGTTTGATGAGTACGATGTAGAAAACCAGTCAAACACTAATAATTTAACATATGTCAATATTCAAACTCCTAGAGTATATTTTTGAACGTTTTGATGGCTACGCTGCTAGCTTGCCCAGTTTTATTAGATTAATACACATATTTATGTTGGATGAACGATTAAGTCAATGAATGAAGTTATTGCACATTCCAGGACAATATACAAGTGTTTCAGTCAGTGATACCAAATGTTGTGAACTTTTTCCAGTCCGAGGGATTTACCAAAGCTAGACAGATACCTAGACGAAGTTTATAAAAGTCATTTTACCAGTTAGTGGCTAAAGTTATATGAAATGTTTGTATGGCACTATTTCTGCAACCTTATTGTTGAAGAGTTCATGTGTCTAGTTAGTTGGGTGAACCTGGCAACGATTTGGAAGACTGGATTAATTTTCGTATTACAAACGCCAAAGTGTCACGAATCAACAGGATACAATTTGATGACACATAAACTGAATGAAAGTAAAGTGGCAGTCAGTTTGGGGGATGATATTACTAAATGATAGGCATTAGCACTCTTTTTACATATTACAAGTATCCCCATAGATTCCTGGAAGTAAGATTCAATTAATATCATCGGAAAACCTGTTGTAGTTACCGTTAGTTCCTTTGAAGGATATATTCTGGGGAAAAAGAAACTGATTTTAAATGTTTCGTTATTTGAGCTGATTCTCTAAATATTACTTTGCTATCTTATTAATAGATGATTTCCCGTTTTATTTCTCATAACTGATACTTCGTCAATTGTGAAGCATTTTTCAGCGTCTATCTGTACCGAATCTTTTTTAGCAAAAATAGATAAATGAACAGATAGGTAATGCTAACCGTTTATGAGCATAAATTCAGTAAGAAAAAAAGAAATATACTAACCATCATAATTCTCAGGGATTTTCGAAATGCCATTGTCTAAACCATTCATAAGTATGTTTGCATCTGAAAAAAAAGCTTAGAATTAGGAAATCTAATGATCGAAAATTTGTACTGCTGTTACAGCTAACCATAAATTCACATACTATTTACATATTAATTAAAATCTTAATATCCAGCTACTAAGCCAGGAAAATGAGCTCAGTCGAGAAACGTCTGTCGATGATTCACCAATGCAAGATATCTGGTTGACAAATCAACATTTCTAATGATGGTGTATTTTACTTATGCATGAAAATTGAAGTACTGAAAGCTCTTTATGGGGGATGACACGTTTCTTTTGGTGAAAACACTGAATGTATGAGAAATTTTGGTTTCTGACTGTTGATTCACTATCAGGATGATTCCTGATTGATTGAATTTGGAAAACTTGTCAGTGCATACGATTCTAGCAAAATGTGAGAAGACGAAACAATGCAAAATATCAAGTTCTGAGAGCTTTCAGGGATTTCTGGATAGTGAAATCGCAGATAAGACAAGTGTACTGCCACAAATGAAAAATGTTTTGAAGGGAATAGTAATGATGAATCCTATAATTTGTAAAAACTAAGTTCATCCCACTTCAGTTTGCGCATTTGTTGAACGGACTGTGTAAACAGATATAACAGAATTCTGTGCTGTTAGTGATTTGTGGAACAACTGTTTTGAAAAAAGTAAAACATCAGATACGAATGAATAATACCGAGGTAGTGATTATATGTACATCACTAATTAGGTCAGTACTTCGCATAAACATAAATAATCAACCTACCTACATTATTAATTCGGTTGATGCTTTATATACATTTAAATATTGTCAACTTCCTCACTGTGAAAAGTTGGGAAATACTTAGAGATTTAGCTATGAACTTATCAGTGATATGGCTGAATAATTTTTTTTGTATTAAGTTATTTTATATTAAACTAAGCAGGATAATATTACTTTGTCCTTAATAGAAACACCTATTGAACATTCAAACTTCACTTTATCTGTTGCTATTCTAGTTTGATTTAGGATATACGTAAGTCGGGATAAATTAATCACAAACCATTGGATTCAAATCTGGAAAATTTTAGTTACCCGAAAAATGTTTTTAGGAAGTCATTAAGATACGAGTCATTCTTGTTTATCTTAGATGTCAAATGAAATCGAACAGCTAGTTCTATTAAATAAGATAAAAAACTACTGAGAATCCTTACCATTACCGTTATGGCTATCAAGGGCTTGTCTATTATTTGCTCTATGATCAGAATATAGAAACTGGTCGAAAACTTTTCCAAGCACTTTTTCATCTTTAAGTTGGTCAGTTTCGACTTTCACATCAGATTTTTCGATTTTGCTTTCCTGAATTCGAATAAAATCAAAGTATAACATGAAAATATGATTTTGATAGTTAACAAACAAACTAATTGTTTTTTTTTATGTTAAAAACCCTTTGCGACTTATCATCTTACTCGAACACATATTGGACACTTAATGCAGCGCATAAAATGCCTACATGTTCCCAATCTAGACTGTATAAATAGACATTTATTCGAGCTTACAATATCATTTAGCTGTCCAGATCAAGTTAAGTAAAAAGCAACGTTAAGAGCTCATATGATTAGTAATAGTAATATTTAAGCAAAGTTAGCTACGGAGTGATTTGTCAGTACATGAATTGTACTTAAATCTCTAAAATTTACTGAAGAAAAAATGAAATGTCAGATTTTACAATACAAGTGGTAACATGTGAAGAATCGTGAGCTAAACAAAATTTCATGAATTAAAAGAATGATAATCATGTAATCGATTAGAAACTATAAAAAAACAGTTTCTGGATAAACAACTTTATTGTTGTGTGCTAGGTTCAAAGAGAATTGTATGCTATATGCATACAAATCCGCCCCTTTATTATGCTCCCAAATACCCTGGTACGGCCGAGGGTGAGGAGAGTCAGCTCTCCCTCTCAAAATACTCTCACATGGCCACGCGTACACAGCCATTTCGAGGGAAGTACTACTCACTGCCTTCTCGTGGTGGGGGTGTTGCTTACGAAATTGAGAGGACGAAAAGTGAATGTCTGGCGCTTTAACCGGGTTGGTGGATACGGAGGGTTCACCTAGGGGAGTTGGGAAACCCTGATTCCCAACCAATGGTGCACATGGGCTCCAGGATCCTGAATGAACAAATGACGTATGAACCAATTGTTAGTCACCGGATACCATGGGACTGCATCTCTTGGCATTGCTCCACTACCTTGTGGATCAGACCTGTAGGTCGGAGGCTCCGGGTGTGGCTCCCTAAGAAAACCACCTGCTTCGGTCTGGGCACCCGGGCAGTATCATAGCACATACACAAATTAAGTGACTTGTGTGGCACATATGTATTCGGTGCCCTTTGTACCAATACTTACGTGTTCAAATAAATAAATAAGATAAACAATTGCTGGTAAGGTGAAAATATTATACATTCCAGAAATAGTTTATTATGTGATTACAATTAAGTGCATGAACCAGGGACCGATTAAGATACAACTCGACATACCTTTACAACGATAGCAATGGGACCTAATAGAACTAATAACTGATTCCAGTCAAAGCAAAAATGAATGTCTGATAGTAGTTTCAAGCCAAATATTTTTTTAAATGGTGGTAATGACTGAAATATATATAGCAACAAGAAAGGTAAAACTATCCAGACTAAAAAGGCTGGACGATGTATACATAAATCAAAACAGTTCGTGATCTGTATATTCCTAACATTATATCGAAGTATTAAGAAAGCTATTTAAGATCTTCGCGTTGAAACTACCCTTAGTAAAAAGTGATACTATGTTCAGTAATCTGATTTATTAGAACTAAAGACCATAGAAAACCAAGACAGCGACAAAATTATTAAAGAATCTTAATTATGAAATTTTTGACATTTTTTCATAAGACAAAATCATATAGCTTACATTATCTCATTGTTTCACTTTTAGTATGAGAATCGTTAAATATTAGTTTTGAAGTTAGCATCACTTAACAGTAAAGGGTGATTTTTTCAAAGCAACACTAATGGGTAGTTGAATTTATTGAAGTATCAAGCTTTTAGTAGAAAGTTAATAACACAATTCTAAATGGTACTATTTAAACTTGTGTTAATTTAATTCGGTTATTTATTTACTCTGAAGTAGCTTACAGTAAGTCACGAAACGTCAAAAATACAACTTTTCTACTCATTGAGATATAACAAAAAATATAATTATGAAACCAGTAGTATGTTTGAATTTGCACTAGACAATACTACTGGTTTTACTTCGTTTTGGATAAAAATCATGGGTAGAGTTAAGAAGAGGTCCGTCTGTAGCTGCTACCTTGATGTGATGATTGTGATTCCTAACCGTGATGATCAAACAGAGCTACATCATCTCTTTAGGTTCCGCCATGACAACCAAGTCGGTTGGATAATTCAAATGCAGTTTGAATAATTTCCAATTCATTTAGAAGTCTTAACCTATTTGAACAGTTATGTGTAACCCAATAACTGCTTTATAGGCATTTTTCTGATATAAGATTCGACTGAAATCTTCGGAAACTATATGTGAGGATCAAGAGTGATATCTCTTGTCTATATTAAACTAATCGCGTCTGACTATGACGATGAAAAAATGTCTCGTCGACATGTACAGCGCCAAAAGGATTTACGACTAAAATACTAGGTCAAAAAGGTGCCTAAATACGCATGCCTTAATGTCCAATATTAGTTGGCATAAGAATAGTGATAAGTCTTGCTAATTTTAACACTTTATTCGGTTCCTAAGCTATTCTAGTAACCCGCAAGCTGAAAATACGCAGCGACATGAACACAAGGGAAAAGGCGCAAATCAAGAAAAAAGCACTTTACTCCAAAGGTTCGTTTTCGTACAGAAAAACACGGGTATTTATAAATTATCAGCGTTTGTCAAATCAACATTATAATTTGGCCAATCCGCTAAGAAACATACTATGCTACTGACCAATAGTAGCATACCATGTTGATATTCTAGAAAGCTTCCTGATTAGCTGAAACCCTTCGGCTCTTATAGGGCCTCTGGAGGCTCCGTTGTAGTTCTCGCAAGCCGACTCAACACCTCCCCCGAATAAGATTTCTTTCTAGGATCCACTTGTAGCTTGATAACTGGTTTCCGGTGGCGTCCCATTGTTCTTGTTGTCTTCCTTGTCCGAGACTTCTTTTCAGTGTCCTTGGGCATATGTAAAGTTGATGTGTCTAAGATTAACTCTAACGGAAGATTCGGCTGGTTATTTTGAGTCTGCATCGTTCTTTTGTCTTTATGGATCTGATTTGTATGTCATATACATGTTCCAAAAGTTCCTTGGACTCTGTACAAAACGTTTCCCAATTTTTGTACAACTTTTCCCAGCTCCCATAGGTTTTTCCCGAGGTAAGATTTAATGAAAACTTCGTCGCCAACATTAAGGCTCCGGATATTTGGATTGTGACTGTGCCCATCCACTAATTTGGATGGCAACATGGCGTTGAAAACGGTCCGAATACGCCTTCCGAACATGGCGTCAGCAGGAGACTTACCATCTGGAACATTTGGGTTTGGAGTGGTTCTGTAGGATGTTAAAAATTTTGTGATTATCTGTCCAGTTGTCCCTTCGCCTCCCCCTTTCAGTAATGCTCGTTTAAAAGTGTTCACAAAACGTACTGCTTGTCCGTTTGACTGCGGATGATAGGGCGGAGAACAAAGATGAGTTATTCCATTTGTGCTACAGAAATACTTAAACGATTCTGAGATGAATTGCGAGCCATTATCAGTTACTAAAGTCTCTGGAACTCCGAAGCAGCTAAACAAGGTAGACAACTTGTGGACTGTTTCTAATGTTGTACAATTGGGCATGGTATATGCTTCTGGCCACTTAGTAAATGCATCCACAATAATCAGAAACATTTTTCCTTGGATTTGACCAGCAAAACCCTGCTTTTGGTGAATCGCAAGTATCTCATACTGATTCAGTCATTAATGCCATTCACGAATTTAATTTTGATGTTGCATCAGGTGTAACTTTTGATTCTTGATTTAAGAAATATGAAAATTTGCTCTGTATTGGTCTCTACAGACTTCATGACACCTCAAAAGTCAAAATACTTCTAAGAAAACTTGAGACAATAGAACATGAACGCTACAGTAACTTCATTCTCCCGAAGAACCCACGAGACTTTAGTTTTGATGAAACAATTAAAACCCTGTCTCAAATCTTTGGAGAACAGTCATCTCTATTTAATATCTGTTACCAATACTTGAAGATAACGAAAGAACCAGATGACTGGGTGAAACATGCAGGAATTGTGAACCGAGAGTGTGAGAGGTTCAAGTTGTCTTCCATGACTGAAGACCAGTTTAAATGCCTAGTACTTGTCTGTAGCCTGTGTTCACCCGAAGATGCTGACATCCAAACAAGAATCCTAAGCAAGCTCGAACACTGCCCCAATATGATGCTGCAGGAAGTAACTACCGAATGCCAAGGGTTAGTGAATTTGAAGCATGATACCTCGATGGTAGAGAACGGTAACCGTTTCCCTAACGTCAATGCAGTCGAGAGAAAAATTTCACAAGGTTCCAGTACGCATAATTATCGTAATGACAGTGACAAACCATCATCTCCATGCTGGTCTTGTGGAGGTTGGCATTACAAGAGGTTCTGCCCGTTTAAAGAACATTGTTGCAGTAATTGTCGTCGGAAGTGCCATATAGAAACCGGCTGCAGAAAAAGAAACCACAAACGATATTCTGCAAAATCCTACTTCAAGAAATACAGGATACCACGGGACTGCATCTCTTGGCATTGCTCCACTACCTTGTAGAACAATGCCACATAAATATTGGTACAAGCAGGCACCAAATACTAATGTGCCACACAGACCAGGATGGAGATGGTGGTTTGTCACTGTCATTACGATAATTATGCGTGCTGGAACCTTGTGAACCTTGTGCATTGACGTTAGGGAAACGGTTACCGTTCTCTACCATCGAGGTATCATGCTTCAAATTCACTAACCCTTGGCAGACTCAAAATAACCAGCCGAATCTTCCGTTAGAGTTAATCTTAGACACATCAACTTTACATATGCCCAAGGACACTGAAAAGAAGCCTCGGACAAGGAAGACAACAAGAACAATGGGACGCCACCGGAAACCAGTTATCAAGCTACAAGTGGATCCTAGAAAGAAATCTTATTCGGGGGAGGTGTTGAGTCGGCTTCCGAGAACTACAACGGAGCCTCCAGAGGCCCTATAGGAGCCGGAGAATTTTCCTTTAGGGCCTCTGGAGGCTCCATTGTAGTACTCGGAAGCCAACTCAACAAATAGACTGGTAGGAGGCTACGGCGGTCAAATCAAGAAGTACCATCAGTCTAGGAAATCATGGACTGTTGGTTCTGAGTATTGTTAGGTGCACACTACTAGTTCGGAGTAAAGACAGTTTTCACGACTAGCTGTTTGAGACGTCGAGCAGCATGACTGAGAATTGGTCATAGTATCGTAGATTTGTCCACTCATTTCTTTCCTGAAGAATCAAGTTTCATATTAATTTTATACCTTATATACCGGGGATTCATTCCAATCGTAAAATCTTTCTGAATTACTGAAACTAGAAAAAGGTCAACAGCAAAACTCACAACAAAACATAAAACGTATTGAGCATGATTATGGACGTTGTACTTTCAGTGTATTTTTAATTGTACAAGTGATCGCAAGCAAAATTGTGTTGAACTGATGGCAAAATATAGACCATAAAACTTGATAAATTGATTTATAAATGCAACCAACCAACAAGGAAATAGAGCCTTGACTTTTCTAAAGCTTACCTTTGATCCCTCTGATGCTACTTGCTTCGACTGCCTATCATTTGCCAAATTCTGGTACGCTTCTTGGATATTTTCGTAGTCTTGACGAAGGCGAATGCACTCTTTTTGAGACACGACCAAAGAATGCTACAACATGAATACATTTTTGTGGATATAGAGAATTTATAAAAGCCAATCTATTTTCGCATTAAAACTAAAAAATCAAGCTTGGTTAGTGATTTTATACATAAATTTATACGTTAAGAATAAGTGACATTGTTCTTTTAGTATGAATACATATGGAAATTGATGAGAAGTTACGTACTGTCAGGTAAAAACAGAATTATACAATCGATAAAAACTGAATAAATAATTAAAATCAAATCTAGACTTTTTGTATTCCCAATAATTTTACCACGACTGCATTTCGGTGTGCATGAAAGACTTCATATCCTTATTGCAATCTTTCTTTTATATATTACCACCTCTGAATTAACTACTTTTATGAATCCGGTGTCCATCTTGTTGTGTTAATGAGGTATGGCAACTTGGACCGATGCATAAATGTGCCTGGTCCTACGCTGTAGCTAACTGACCGAAAGACTTCTGATCGTAAATGACACCAAAACGAAACATGAACAGGCCTTATTACCTATTATGACTTATTAAATATACGTGAAGTTTGGTCGAGTGCCACATCAACAGTCTTTAAAATTGTATCAGACTCATAAACAAGAACGTAAAAAGTGGTTCATATTCCTTTAGAAATTACAATTAAATTTTTTTTATTATTATTGGCTTTATTCAAGCACATGAATACCGTTGCTGCTACCTTAACGTGGTGATCAGGTTTGCCTATCGTGATGAACCAATCGAGCTATGCTGGTCGGGACAATCATTCCTCAAGGTCCTACTATGCAAGACAGGTCGGTTGAAGAGCAGCAAACCCAAGGTCCTAGGGCGAAGTCGTACTGCTGACTGTACAGAGTTGTGACGGCAGTAAGGTGTTCCCCTCAGACAACCAGCATAACAGTGAATCTCGTACCATTGATGTATGCTGTCTCCGAAACACGCATACAGGATCCTAATATGGTCGTTCGCTTGACCTTAACTCGCCATAAGGGGGAGCCGACGAGATACACCCTCCGTTTATTTGGCGACCCGATAGCTAGTCCTCGTGGACTGGCAGGTATAAAAACGACCGCGAGTAGTGGTGAGCAACGAAAGCAAAAGAGATGGAAATGGTAGCGGTTGTATGTAACACAGTACAGCTCTACAGACTAAAAAAAGACACTGGAATTACTAAGTCAAGTGTGAGGCTATCTCAGAAAACGACGGCACTCTTATCTGCTCCCAGTCAAGACGTTTAGAACGATGGGCGGAACATTCTAAGGAACAGTTCAACTGACCTTCAGCTACTTTACAACTACCTACCATTCCTAGACAGCCTGAATTGAACATTGAAGTAGGTCCCCCAACTCTAGCTGAAGTTCAAAGGGCTATAACTAATCTGAAACGAGGAAGAGCAGCTGGTCCATATGGATTGGCTCCAGAGGACTTTAAGAATGGTGGTCCAGTTTTAGAGATTAGGTTGACTAATATTTTAGCTCAAATCTGGGAGTTGGACGTAATCCCATCTGACTGGTCACAATCACTGATTGTCCCAATATATAAAGAGGTCAAAATCATTCTCTGATAACCATAGAGGGATCAGTTTGACCAACATAGCATCTAAAATACTAACCTCAATAGTTATCGGACGCCTAACAAAGACTCGTAAACTGCAAACACGAGAAAATCAGGCTGGCTTTAGACCTGGTCGTGGCTACATCGACAATATACTCACCATTCGTCAAATCTTAGGACAGGCATGCTTATCGGAGTCCGACAGTTATGGTTTGACGTTTAGGAAGAACTCATTATATATAGGTTTAGTGTTTCAAAGGTCACTGTGATTGAAGAATTCATGGATCTTCGGAAAGAACTAAAGTGATGGGTTCTTCCAAAGTCTCAGAACGAGGGAAAATAAGTTTAGTCATTAGTTCTTAATGCTTGTTCGACTGAAATGTACACATAACTAAAATAACATGAACGTACCTCAAGATCTGTAGCTTTGCTAAACACTTCCGCTTTCTCGTTTAACAGGCGTTCCAACATTATTTTACTGGCTTTCTCAAGATTAAATTTTTCCTCTAGAGCCTGCATTAGATGCGACTGTAACGAATTCTCGGGCAAATCCTTGAAACAACAAAAATATCACAAATCCGAAGCATATAAGTATTTATGCAAAATCCAAAACTAATATTAAAAGACATGGTTGTGAACTGGCAACTCACTTGCTTCAACAAAGATAGTTGAGTTTCATAGAGACTTAGCTTCTCCAAAAGTCGATCTTCATCCACCATAGCCTAAATGATAGAATGACGGAAAGCTTAGACTTACTTGCCAACCAGCCTCAGAAATTTCTTGTGCCTCTTGTAGGAGCCGTTTGATAGACTCAAGTTTTGTGTCCAGAACTTGTTCCCGAAATAAAGCCTCCTGAAAACCAGTAGTGAATGACTAAAGAAATAAACATACGCTAATGTAATGTGTGAAGCGGAACATTTGTTCAGTATGGAGTGCCTCGATACCAGTCAAAGCATTATTACTACTGACATAATCAACGCTACTAAGCGAATAAAACTAATAATTTATTTACCTTTGTTTTGCTTCTGTTCCATTAGGATGATACAAAGCAACTTGAGCTATGATGCAGCCGTGAGTTGCTAAGGTCAAATAAATATAAGCAACGAAATATAAATTACTATCATGTTCAACGACGTCTACTCCAAAACGAATGATATCACCGGAAAATATCTCACGGTCGGCAAAATCTTCATCATTTTTTTTCACTATTCTTGTGTTATTGACAAAAGTTCCATTGCTACTATTTGTGTCACGTAACCAAAACTGTAAATGAGATTAAAAGTATTCGAAAACATACCCGATCACCTTTGTGCCATATCAATGCATGACTTCTCGACAAGACTTTGCAGTCGAAGATCGCATTGGTTTTTGTAGGTTTGGCGCGGGCCACTGAACGTCCAACTTTTATTATCTCATTTAGTATAATTATGCGGTCCTGAAAAGGGTGTGAATCTCGCTGACAGGTAAGGACCAACACTGGCTGCTCTTCACGCTGACTAATGAGGCTCCCTGACATTGAACAGGACACGCAGAATTAACGGAGTAGCTACCAAATAAAAATTATTTTAGTTATTGTGTGGAAGCAGCACGGAACTGTTAGTTCTTAAATTAAAATCGAAAACAGAATTGGAAAGCGAATGAACAGGACCGAATACCAAAAAGTGAGTTCCATAAGAACTTTATGAAACTACTCCTTGTTCCCAAAAACAGTAACAGTTTCAACAGCAAAAGTAAAACAAACCTGATGTACTATTCGTTTCCCCCAATGACTATCACGTATCTAATTAGCAAACGTTAATTACTTTGAGCAAATGGCTTAGGAAATCATCCTGAAGCGAATGTCGCTACTTTGCATGAGCTGTTTTTATTCATGTTAGATACTGAGAGACTATACGACAATGAGTCCAGACAGACTGATTGATCGGCTTATCTAGTTATATCAACAGTTTAAAGTTATTACTAATTGATCGCAGAAGCTACAAGACAGACTACATTAAAAATTATAGATTTACGTACTGCTGAAGAGTACCGTTTTGTGATTACAAATTTTGTGGATTCAAGCCACTATGGGAAAGTTAGTTGACAATTATTGACAAATACCCCACCAATCAAAGACTAGATTGTGTTAATGATGCAAATACGTGAACGTCTTACGGCAGTTGAATAAAACGAGTAAAGTATTCTAGGAAACATAATAGTCGGTCATAATCAACGTAGTGTTCGCACATATATGCGTTAGACCAAAATACATCAGCAAGATGACATAAAATTATAAATAGAAATACTGTAGTAGATAATGTGGGAGACTAGCGATTGACAACATGGTTAGAGAAGACAAAGATATGTAGCAAGGAATAATAAAGCTCAAGATCTAGAGTAAAATGAATGAATGCAAATGAGCTATTATTACCAATTTCAAGACATTATACCCGTCTAAAAACGGACGCAGTTATCGTGCAGACTCCAACCAGGTGGTCAACGTCTACCAACATGATTCACAACAACAGTCAGTGATTTCATGTTCTGATGCTACGCCTTCTTGTAGCCTCCCCTACAATTTTTCCGACCTATTCCTACAAAGGTAAACATTGCCCGTAAAAGTAGATAGTGGTCAAGCATGAGTGCCACGTCTTAAATACATCAGCCGAAAATCAATAATCTCATCAACTGATTTCCCATATTTGCCTAGTACTCTATGGTCAAACTCAACATTATTCTGTAGATCGTTTTACGATAAAGTGGGAGTTTTGAAGACACTTACGGCAAAAAATCTTCAGCCCATCCATCTTTTATTATCAGGAACTATGTTTCCCGGTCATACAGTAAGACAGAGCTAACTGACAGTATACTCGCCGTGTGACTGAACATCTCACCTACGCGACAAGTGATGTAGATATGCAAAAGCCAACTAAGCTTTCTGTAGTATGAATGTTTCTTCAGTCACCAACTTACTAGGGTCAAAGAGACTTCCAAGGTTAGTGGTCGGTACACCACACTGCCTCACTCCCAACAATTAATCTATTTTATTTTTATTTTATTTGAACACATGAATATTGGTACAAGAGAGCGCCAATATATATGCACCACACAAAACAATGAGAATTCGAATAGAAATAGAAAAAAAAAAGGCTAAGGGGCGAAAAAAAAGGGAACAATAACGAGGAGATTGGTGTAAGGTAGTATGGTAGGAATGAGGGAACGGAAAGGTACAATCAGAAGAAAACTTTCAGGTAAGGGAGACACAACCACTTTTTACGAAGAAAGTAAAAGGTTACAGCAGGATCACCCCTGGCTTCTATTCTGAGCCATATCTGATAACGTCTCTAGCCACTGTGTAGCACCATCTCTCAGACCCCAACCAGGGAGTCGTGAAGGACCAACAAAAGCCAGTCCTTTGCAGCTTTCTTTCATGCCACGACACCATGTCATGCACTGAACAAATGATGAACTCTTTATGTCTATGGAAACAATTAATCTATGTTATTATTCAGATCAGTCTGAAACCAAAATTTCACATTGAGATGAAGAAACACCTTAAATGCCTGCACTGTTACTTAAGGTTATAATACTCTGCATTATACCAGCACCTTCACCGAACAGAACTATGACATAAGTATTCTAAGTTATTCAGTGAACTTCCAGGTAATATAGGTCAGTCCCTGAAGACCAAGACAAGGTATGGTTTCTTAGATTGAGATTTCTATGATGACTAAAACGCTAACCTTTTCCAGATGAACTTGACACGAGTGTATCAAGTCTACCTTCGTCCATAATCACATGCTCTGACATTAACAGCAGTGTCTGGTATATACCAATATTACAAGATATCCAAAGAGGATATTTGTTTTTATAAGCCTCAACTATTCTTGATACGAATGTAAATATTCAACAAACATCTTGTTGATAACCATCCATTTTTATTGATAAGCACTCTAAGGTATGGTTAATAATTCGTCGTTTGGTTGGACTAAAACACGGTTTTTATCCACTGTTCAGAAATAATTTTCCGTTAGATGTTTTGTATCTTTTCTAAGTAGGGCATCACAAAATAAGTTAAAATAAACTAGTACTATCAGCATAGTTACTTGATCTATATCTCCAAACGATATCCTAGTACTTAAGACTAATAAAAAAATAATCATACCTTGTCTTAATGCTCAAGCACGTTTCATGCACAAAAAAGTACAAACGCAAAAGGCAATTACTGCTGGTGACCAAGTAGGTTTGAATTGTTCATTTCCACAAACACATGGGATGGCTATAGTACCCTTTAAGGGTCTAAATATTTAAGTTCCAACAGCAGGACGTTGGATAGCTAACTAGACGGCGGATTTAAAAGCATGGACTAAAACGCTGCCATAAATAAAAATCAAGACTTGTGTAAATATGCTTTTTCAATATTCAAACAAAAGTTTTATGAAAGTGTACGAGCTTGTTCAAGAATGGCATCATCCAGTAGTTAAAGGGCCAGAGCATCAATCTGAAAAGCGTTTGGCGAATCTGTCTTAATTTGATATGAAAGGAATTACTATCAGAGGCAAGATAGCAACGGACATATGGGAACAGCTGATCCATTTGTGATCCCCACTAACCAAGCAACACAACTCATTTCGACGTAACATTATATATATTGGAGCGACAACCAAGAAATTTGTCATTTAAGATTCGTTTGTATGAAGAGAGTCAGACTGACTTACCATATTTCAGAAACAAACCATCATGAGAAAACAGAGCCGTACAATCGAAAGCACACCAAAAAGCGCTCCAGAATATCCTTAGTGTTGCGCAGTTTGTCAAATTAACAAAAGAACACAAGTCATGTTGTAAGAAGTATTTTTCAACTGTTTGACAGTCAAGGTATCAAGAAGGTACATCCTTCAGACTTGTGTTTCATGCGAAAGAGTTGTCTCCTATCTAAGATGTAGTTTCTTAAACTTATCAACTTCACTTGGTTAGGCAGTTACTCTGGCCTTTGAAACTGCTTCACCAGCTTAGGTATTGAAGTCAGACATATAATTAACTGTAAACATGTCGAAAGTCTGAAATAAGGTGCTTCATCAAGATACCGAATAAAAAAGGTCTTAATAAGAGTGAGGACAAAAGAGGGATCACATAACTATCCGCATCAGGCTGTGTTCAAGTTTTTCTTAAACAAATAAAGGACATTTTAGGCGCACAAGTTAAATGCCGAAGATCTGAGTTTCGCAAAGACGTTGACCGGAATGAGACACTATTGATCATTATTCAACAACCAATTTAACGAAGCACGTGGATGCCATGAGATTGAAGTAAACTAGGAACAAAAAGCGAAATGATATGAATTCACCGTATTGTAGGTTCTCAACAATCATGTACAACCTGCAAACACTAGCAATAATTATTTAGGATCGCTCGATTGATTTGATGTCGTACCTGTGAAAATACGAATTCTTGAAAGAAATGTAAAAATGTGTAACCAGATGAATGCTTGCATATTCTAGGGCGGGCAAATCTTTAAACAGGTGGAGACGTTTTTCTGGAAAATGAAGACTTATGTCAAAGTAACGCAAGAAAGCTGAGTAATCAATAATAAATTGAATAATAAATTAAGTACAACTAAAAGAGTTACACGAAAATAAGGATACGTCTATAATTGATGGCGCATAATTATTAGCTAGACATCAGAATATTACACACTGAAGCCTGTTGTGTAATGAGAAACCGAAAAGTCTTCACTTTGCGTCCCAAATAAGTTTTCATCCTTAGTGTAATGTAACAAATTTCAAGGAGCTTGCGTGTTACTTTTAAGAATTCTTAAACGTCAGTAAAGTATTTATGATCAGGCACGCAATCTCAATTTCGGTCAGTCCAGTAAGCCCATTTATCTCCTGAAAATTAAAATTCAAAAGAACGGTGTGATCATTTCTAGTCTATTTGTACGAAGAAAGCGTCACTTTTGCACGTACTTATATGTCTTTTAATTGATAATCACTTGATTCAATTTTTTAGACGCTTTATTAGTCTAGCATAGATAAATATGGCAACTCGAGAACAAGAAAAAACGTGCCAAGTTCATAATTGTGCTTCATCCCAGGTTTGTTCGAATGCCGGTAAACGAGAATTTTTAAAGAGTTACACACGAACGTGTGCTACTGGAAATTTCTGAAACCTTACTAAATGTAGCAACAACATAGATAGATATCCAACCCAAACCATGGCGCATGATTTAGGATTTTCTAAATGCTTCCGTAAGGATTATACTCGATCGTGAATGGATGAAATATTTGTAGCGGTATTGGTTCATAAACAAGCGATTCTCGGAGTTGAACATATAAATACTGAAAAGATTGACACTCAGCATGTAACACTCAGAGGGGGTCGGCAATGGTGGGCGCAGGAACAACCAACCATCAGAAGACTCATTCATAAAAACACTCATTGAGTGTTAAAAGTCACAATAAGGCTATCTCCAGAATGAGAAATGTCTCATAGAAACAGGAGCAGATCACAACAACGACCGAAATCCAAGTTACAAAACAGTCGCAAGTGTTCAGCTAATCTGGATAGTTCTGTTAGTACCGCCGTAGGTTTGGTGTCAACTCAACCAAATGCAGGCAACCATGCGCCTGGTCTTTAAGGAACCCAAAGAATATGGGAAACGAATAATCCCTATCCAGGTCGCGACAACTGAGGGGGGCGCGTAAACAGTTGTTTGTTTTATGTTAGAGACAGAAACTCTGGCTTGAACTTCTTAGTGGATACTGGCGCTACTCTTAGTATCATTCCTCGGAAAAAACTGAGCTGGGTCAAGAAACATCCCCAGTTACGCTTCAAGTTGCCAATAAAACTAAAATCGCGACATGTGACCAGAAATCTTTATCTCTAGATTTGTGGTTCAGGAAGAAATTCCTCTGGGTTTTCACTGTAGCTAATGTAGATCTGGCAATACTGAGGATGAACTTTTTAGAGAGATACAAATTTCTATTTGACACTAGAAAACGACACTCGACATTGAAAGAAACTTTGCATTACACAAAAGACAGTGAAAGTCACATCAAATCTCCCAATTTTATACAAATTCCTTCAGTAACAACAGCAAAATTCCAGGATATACTCACGGAATTTTCACACTTAAATAAACCTTACCCACAGCCTTCCAAACACAAACTACGTCATATGATAAAAGCCAAAGGTGCACTTGTGTTTGCAAGACTCAGGAGACTGGCTCCAAAAAAGCTTAAAAATCGTTAGAGCTGAATTCGACCGCATGCTACCATACATGGATATTATAAATCTCTGATAGTCAATAGACATCCCCTTTGCATATGGTCCTAAAGAAAAATGAAGACAACTGGAGGGGATTACAGAGCCTTTAACCGTCAAACCGCACCAGATAGGTACTCAATACTTCATACCCAAGATTTTACAAACGGTTTACACGGTACAAACATATTTACTAAAACTGACTTGATTAGGGCGTAGCACAATATCCCAGTAGTTGGGGAAGATATCCCTAAGACTGTTATTACCACACTTTTCGGATTGTTCGAGTTTATACGCATGCCATTCAGCCTGAGGAACACAGCACAAACACTTCAAAGATTCACGGATAACCTACTTCGGGATATGCCATTTGCATGACGGTATTTAGACGATTTGTTAATTGCCAGTTCCAATTCACAATTACACGAACATCATGTAAGAACAGTGTTAAAACCTTTAGATTATTATTACATCAAAGTGTGTTTTCAGTGTTCGAACCTTAAAATTTCTCGTGCACACATTAAGCTTAAAAAGAATTCACTGATCAAAGAAAAAGTGGATACCATCATACAGTAACCCATACCTAGTTCTTTAACACAAGTTAGAAGTTTTCTAGGTCTAGTTAACTTTTATCGCAGATTCATACCCGGTTTAGCACAATTAATGTAACCTTTGACAGATTCACTTAAAAAAATCAAAAGAATCCAAGTTGACTTCTGAAGCTGTTAAGCTATCAAACAGCTAAAGTACAGACTGACTCAAGCATCTACGTTGATGTATCCGGATTCCCTTTTCCTCATTCGCTTTTATGGTAGATGCTTTGGAGAAAGCAGTAGGCGGTATCCTTAACCGACTTGTTATAAACTTCTGGAAACCAAGTGGTTTATTCCCAAAAAGACTCGCTCCAACAGAGGTAAGATATTCTACCTTCGGACGAGAACTTCTTGCAATCTACCTAGTCATTAAGCATTTCCGACATATGTTGGAAGGCAGGGACTTCAAAGTTTTACGGATCACAAACCACTGACCGACTCACTAAAAGCGAGAGCCGATAAATACTCATCTAGAGAAGTTCGATACCTTGACTACATATCACAGTTCACAAGTGATATCCAACGAGTAAAAGGTCAGGAAATCAGGTGGCAGATGCGTTATTTCAACTAGAAATGAACGTGACACTACAGTCTACAGTAAATTCCGAGATGTTAAGGAACAAACAAGAAGAGGATCACAAATTACAAAACCTAATTACAACAAACAACTCTTATCTCAAACTAAAGCAGGAACCAGTAACCTATTGACGGTTTTTTTATTTGCTGTGACACGACCAAGTTAATGCCGAGACCTTTCGTCCCAAAAATTATGCAACGTTTAGTATTTAATGATTTTCATTCTTTGTCTAGCTTCGGCTAAACTAAACAATGCCAGATATATGTGGCTTACTTTACAAAGGATTGTACACAAATGGGTTAGTGTTCGGCGTGTCAACAGTCAAAAGTCAGTCATCATGCAAGTTCACCCATCGGCGTTCTCTCACAACCAGATGCACGTTTCAACCATGTGCACATCAACTTAGTAGGCTCTTTGCCGCATTTGAACGGCTTTAATTATCTGCTTACATGTATAGATAGACTCACGAGATTCCCTATAGCCATACCGATAACGGAAATCGCAGCCGAAGCAGTGGTCACGGTTTTCATGTAGAACCATTGATCGTTTTTGGTACATCTAAAACAGTAACGACGGACTGCGGAGAACAATTTGAATCTTAACTACTTAATAACTTAGCTAAACTTCTAGATCCCAACAGAATTCGTCGTGCATATCACCCTCAGTCTAATAGGATGGTTGAACGTTTTCACTGTCAACGAAAGGCTGCCCTTACATCACACTCAAACTTCAATCAATGCACAGAATTCCTTCTATTAATTATGTTGGGGATACTAACAGCTATCAAAACTGACTCACAGTGTTCAGCAGCGGAACTAGTTTTCGGGACAACTATGAGATTACCGAGTGAGTTATTAACCCTCATATAGACAGCAAAAAGCTTGATTTTAGAAAAACACGGAGACCGACTGCAAGAACCATATGTTCAAACTCAAACCAATTAATACTCTAGAACAATCGCGAGCCATATATGTACCTAAGGATCTAAGCAATTGCACGGACGTTTGGTAGAGGTGTGACAAAGAAAAAGCACTGCTTAGCCCTCCATTCGAAGATCCTTATAAAGTTTTCTCAAAGAAATCTTAATATTTCGTGATAGAAAAACGGAAACACCGACTCCGTAATTACTGCTAGGCTAAAAGCGACTTATATACATCATGAACCACCATATATGTTGTTAGACCGTTTGCCTGACAAAATAATCTCGGAATCGACAAGTGTGAACAAACATCATGTACAAGTGGCTAAAAATGATACGTGGGCACAGCCGATTAATCAGTCATGAAAATCCACAATTTTAGCTGCAGCCTAAAATATAACCACGTATCTACTAAGATCTAGTGTTTATTTAACTAGAAA